TTGCATATTCATACCCAAAAAAAAAAAAATTGTAAATTATCTTTTTACCTTCATATGGTTTGAAGCTTTACCACATAACCGTGTATGATTTAAAAATATGCACATAACCTATACATGAATTAAGTTAAAGTGTCATCACTAGTTTTTCCATTAAAACCAACTATCAATATTAAAAAGTCAAAATCAAACTAATAAATTAATAAATTCACCCTTTCACTATTTTTTTTTATTTTCCCAAATACAATGAAAAATTGAGATAAAAAATAGATAAATACAAAATAAAAAATCGCCGTTAAAGATTTGCAGTCGTTAAAATTTTAGTTTTGAAACCTACAACGATATTTGCAGTCGTTAAATATTTGTTATTTTCTAATTCTTATTTATCTATTTTCTATTTCCATTTCTTCTATTTTTTATTTGGAAAAAATTATGATTTATTAAGATCTAGTAAGTCAAAGTATAGTTTTTTTTTTTTTTTAAATCATCTATTCTCTTCCCAAAGGAAAAAAGAAAATGGGAAAGAAAAGGAAAAACAAAAACAAAAAAAAGTAGTGAAAGCATAACTTTGTCAATTTATTAGTTTGACTTTAACTTTTTTAGATTAACCGTTAATTTTAGTAGAAAAGCTAATAACGACACTTTAGTTTAAACCATGAGAGCATTATGACACTTTTAAGTTTTAACTCAAATCATAAGATGGTTATATAAAATTTATTAAATCAGGATTACGTAGTAAAGGACCAAACTACGTACAGTGGGGGAAAAAGCAGTAAAGCACCGGAGCCATATGATGTTCTAGAAAATTAATCAAAATCCGTCATAGAGGACATGAGACAATCAATGCACGATGTTGCTAGCAAATTACCATGACTGAACTTCTACAATAGCTCAATGGAAGTAAATTGGCCGTAAGCTATTCTATTGAATTGTTATCAGTTCGAAAGCAAATGTCCACAATTTTGATGATATGGGATGCAATTAGTAGGTTGATGACTGCATTTGTCAGCAAATTCTGTGCTAAAGTAAACACTGTTTTGAGTCAATTAACTCTGGAAGAAACGAAACCAATACACAAATTGTTTCATAATCTGCTACCACGACTGGTTTTTTTGCTTTCATTAAGGCTGGGAGTCCAACCCAACCCAACCCAGTGATTTTGAAGATCATAACCCAAAAACTTAGGATCCGAGAGCAAAGATGCAAGGGAATTCGGTGCACATGCTTCTGCAATAAAAGAGAAGACCAAATGAGTGTGGACAAAAAGGAAACATCATATCTTTGACTTCTTTTTACAAAATCTGAGTGGAGGAAATTATGAAGTGAGAGGAATGGAATTTCTACCACCTTTTATGCAGAAACACAGGGGAGAAGCCTGGCATCACCATACGTAGCTAGTTTTCCTTCTTGCAACAAGTTTTCTCTCTAGTTAAGAGTTCTTAGAGAAGCATTTGGTTTTTCACTTGTAACCATCTTGTACAAGAACATAGCAGGAATTGGAGAGCTTTACCTTCAATTGGCTAAGCTTTCTTTTACCTTTCTTATACTTGTACTTCATGATGTTTTGCATTAATAAACTTGTGAGTTTGATTGTTAAATCATTCATGAGTAGCTAATTTCCTTTATCTAGGGAGTAGATGAAGCTTATGGCCAAATGATATGAAGTGATTGTGATTTATGCTTGTTATGTCTTGTATTAACTTATCTACTTGTGTATGTTGGATTACTTGTTGCTTGATCACCAATAGCAGGTTTATAGTTGTTTTTACTCATTGAGAAATGGTAAAAATAATGGAATGACATAAGTAGAGCTTGAGTAGTATATTCATGAGAATAGAAATACATTCAAGTGGATAAAATCTATATTTCAGGTATGCACAAAACAGATTTAGTATTTTCCAAGAGATTAGGAAAAACTAATCTGTTTTAACCCATTATTATCATGAAAATGTGATTTTGGTATTGTTGGAAATGAATCCTTGGTTAAACAAGAGCAGTAACAAGTGTTAAATTCATTCGTTTTAGATCTTTTGTGTTATATGTGGAATCTACATCCCTAGATCTTAATATTTAGTGAATTCTATTTCTATTGTGAAATTGCATTTATCTATTTAAGAATTTTTGTAGTTGAATTAAATTCTGAAGTTTCTGCTCAAATTAATTGTAAGTCTAAATAATAGAGTAAATTAGTATCCAATAATTGTTTTAATTGCTCATCGTGGGATCGACCCGATACACATCTTGTACTACAATTGCGACCTGTATACTTGCAGTCCAACGGGTGTAAATTCGGAATTAAACTTGCATTGATAGTAAAAATCCCGTCAAGTTTTTCTGCCATAGCTTGCAAACTGACTCAAATCACAAAAGCAATTTCACCGGTAATCTGGAGAGTATCTGAATAATTTCCTCTTATAAGATGTTAGCGACTACCATAGTTTCCTTCCTTCCGTTTTCCTATTCTTTTGGGGCGTGCGGCTCTCTCAATTTTTTGAATTAGAATACGACCTCTCGTCAATACATCAGTGGATTGTTCATGCAAAGGGGATAGACTGCACTATTATCCCAAAAACTCCTATTGAGAGTTTCTTCTCTCCTAAACTATTATAGTGAAAGTTTTATTCTCTCTTAAGTTTTTCCTCACGAGAGTTTTTTGAATTTTTATCTTTTTTTTGTGAAATTTGAGATTTGATAAATTTAGAATCTAGTTTCTTAAATCTGCAACTTCTCTATTATTATCAGATTTAAATTTCTCTTTGGATTTGAACCAATTTTAATTCATAAACATGTTATCGGATCAACCCATAGATGACCTGAATTCGACCCTTTTTTTTCAGGTTCATCGGGTTCGACCCGATTCTGATCCGAACCCACAAAGTCTCAATTCAAACCCATTAATTTCATGTTAGGTTCATGTCATATCAAAAATTGCCAACCCTAGCTAATTGTCTAGTCCGACCGCCAAAGTAGAGCTCTCAAATGAATTGAGCTACTCCTGAGCTTAGCTTGACTTGGTTTGTATAAGTTTGAGTTCAGCTCATTAGTTTGGTTCTATTCAAGTTCGAATATAATATCAGTTTGGCTCGACTTGCAAACAATTCATTTTAATTTGTTTGGGCTCATTTATGCATTTTTTGGAACTATATGTCTAATTTCCCTTGGTGCTTATGTACACTTAGTTTGTCTTAATTATTTATAATATGTATTGTGAAAAGTATTTGGGAACCTTCTTATACTTGGTGAAATTTAATTTACTTGGTTCGTTAAATTAGTTAAATGTGTTGAGTTGCAATTTTGTATATGGTTCTAGAACTCACTTGAGCTTGTTCCAGCTCGAGCTCAATTCGTTGATGCTAAACAAGTTGAGCTCCAATTTGGATTTTCTTTACTGCTTCTCTAAAACAAATTTTAACTATTTCAGAAACTAAAGTATAATATGCTAAAAGTTTACTGATTTTTTTTAATGATATGAACGTATGAATATCATAGAGGTATAATATGAGCATTCACTACCTAAGTTCTTATTTTTATTTTTTTTTTGTCGACATAGGAGTGTTCGGGTCAATTCTTACGGGTCCCGACTAATCCCCTGCAACCTGAGCCTGACGCCCCAACCCGACCAAGACACGATAAGTGAGTGCACAGGCGTCCCCATAGCGCAGTTTCGAACCCGGAACCTAAAGGTTCCAAGAGATCGCTGCTACCATATGGCCGTGGGGGCTACCATGTGGCTACCTAAGTTCTTACACTCGGGGAAAAAAATATGGGTAGACTCCTGCAAGTTTTCCCTGCTCCACTGAGTGTGTTTGGGGGGGGGGGGAGGGGCGCTTTGCTCAGAGTTGAATTAGTATATCTATATTGTTTAAGCCTGAATCATCATTATGCAAAGAGAATTCGCCCAGAAGCAATAACAGAACCAAGAGCATTTCACATCTTCGCCAGTCAAGATGAGAAGAATAGACATGGAATAATTTTGCACCAATACATCAGAATATTTGGCTAACATTGTCTGTGCAAAGGACCTAATTCATATTTGAACGCATTTTATATGTGGAAGTATTTGACATGATAAATTTCAAATAAATAGGAAACCATAGTTATTCAATAACAGAATATTGAAGCAGAGGCACTTGGTGCATTATGCTAATACTGGTGCTTCAGAGATGCCTTTCCTCAAGAACACCGATTGGTTAGTGCAACTATGGATGAAGGTAAACATCTTTCTCCCATTCAATTTGTGGAGTCCATGCTGAAGTCCTGCGCTGGCCATGTCTGCAGCTTCAACTAAACTTTTAATCCATCTTTCTTGTGTGGTCTGACTTCTGGGAAGTATATCTAGTCAAGGGCACAATGTTGGAGCAGCAAACTAGGTGAGTTAAGCAGAGAAGGAAGTGCAGGACAAGATGCCTTAAAATCAAGAACTGGGGTTCTTATGTGGAGTTCTAATTGAAGGTAAACATATGTTTTCCACTCATTTAGTGGTGGCCATGCAAAACTTCTGGAGGACTGTGGAATCTGAGTTGAACTTTAAGAGTCTAAGAGTCGGGAATTCTGGCATTAAGTCAGAAAAGAGAAAAAAACAAAACAAAAACTTTTGGATAATAAAACTGAAAGCTTTCGTATTAGGCTTATAACATTACTCTAGCAATATGCTTGATTCATACCAGCTGTTATTGGTCTATAGAAAATGAAAGAGAATATACTAGTATAGTACTGATATTCGGAATTCAACATATTGCATTTCTTCTGCCCATAAGTTCCTTAAGCAAATTTTGGTTGAATTTGTCGGGGAGAAAATATCTGTCTGTTATTGGCAATCGCTTTTAGGGTGATGTTTAGGGATCATAATAGGAAAGAACTTGACAAGGTAGTATGCTTAGCATCTAAAAGTGTTACCTCTATCACAAATAATTAAAAAAAAGATGAGAAGATTTTACACCTAAAAAGAATTCCATAATTTAAGGCGGGTGTAAAGGACTACCTGATTTGCTGAAATGGTATATTCAAAGCCAACGATCATCACTGCCAAATTTTATGGCACAGTTGGAGTTGATTTTGTGAAGATCTTCTCCACCTATTCCATCTACCTTATGTAGCCTGCCTACAAATTGTTCTGGCATCATGCTAATCTTCAGCTTTCTGAGAGAACTGACATACTTTAGTCCCTCGGGAAGCATTTCCATTCTCCTGCACTTCGAAATTTCCAAAGTAAAAAGCTTATGCATTGCTCCTTCGGCAACCTCCCATGCTTCTAAACTGTACAATTTGGAGAGTTTTAAACACCTGAGCTCAGGAAAACCTGGGGCAGAACAATTCATATTCTTTCCCACGAATGCCTCAATTTCTAAGACCAGGATCCTTAGGTTGGGAAGCTTCTCCAGTGTTTCCATTGGATCTCGTTCAAACTCAGAACCGCTTAACACAATCTCGGTAAAGCTGGAAGAGATTGTACTAACCTCTGGTACTTTTCCCATATGCCCTTCCATTCTCAAAGATTTAAGTACACCACAGCTGAACAAACTTGGAATGAATGACACCCGCTCTTCAGAGTAACAATCAAAATTTTTTATGTCAAGCAATGTCCTGCTCAAGTGGCTCGAGTTATTGTTTATGCAGTTGATTATCTGCACCAAGTCCTTCAGCTTTCCTTCCACAGTTACTGCTAGACTCCGAAGGTTGGTCAGCTTTATGAGGTCCTCAGCACTGCAAACATTTGTATCTAAACCTTCTAGTGTCTCCAGTTCATTCAAGCCATCCAGTTTTAACATACCACAATGATCAGGAGTTCGAAATGCTAGAGGGAAGTATAGATGTCTTAGTCGTTTCAGCTTCCAAATGACATTTGAAATTGTCAATGTACAATCATTTCGAACCCTCAGGTCTAGGGTTTCCAGGTATAAAAATTCACCAACAAATGATGGCAAATCCTCCAGGTAACTTCCTCGAAAACTCAAGTATCTCAAGAAGAATAACTTGCTTACTCCGTCTGGTAGCTTTCCATCCTGAAAACATACTTTATCAAAATCTAGAACTCTTAGCCATCTATGATTATTGAAATTAAAAAATTCCTGTCGCCATGTATGTTCTTGCCCTGATTGGTCAGAGTTGAGGATTAAAAGAGACCGAAGGTTAGCAGAGGGGCAAACATCAGCTAAGTTGTCATATCTATTCAAATATATAGCACACCTTTGTGCAGATGACCTCATTCGTGGATGATTAATGGAAGATTCCATGACCTCATAAAATCCCTCCTCTTCTCCAAGTGATACACTGAAATCTCTTATTAGATCATGAACGTGGCAGGACATGAGTTTTACATCTGAGACTTCATCTTCATGCAGAATTACCAAGCTCCTTACCAACAGTTCATCAAAATATCGCCCTGCCAAGTCCATCGTTGTTTCTCCGCTTTCCCTATACGCTGATATCAGACCTTCAGCAATCCAAAGCTCACACAATTTGTCTACCTGAATCCCTGAATTGTTTGGGAAGTTTCCCAAATAAAGAAAACTCGAGCTTATACCAAGTGGCAAACTGTAGTAACTTAAAGATTCGGGACCTCTTCCAGAAGAATTTATCATGCCAAGGCTGACTTTCACAGATTCCAAATCAAGTGTCCTGCTTCTCAACATACTGGCGACTAAAATTATAGCCAATGGTAAGCCCCGGCATGATGAGATTAAGCTCCGTGTATTTTGTTCCAGTTCTGGGCCTTGGTCTCCTAGTTCCTGCTGATCTGAACCATCTTCTGGTGGGATTCCACCATCCATAATGAAGCCAATTAACCCAACATAAGACTAGAACATAAAATTAATATAGGTTTTATCTTCTCTAAAAATCTACCCAACAGGAATATGTAAACTACAACAGATCCCATATATTAGTCAAAATCATATTTGACAGTAAATAACATTGGAATTTCCCAAAAGTTTCCTCAATTTCAATCATAATATAACTTTAATTTGCAATTTACTCCTCAAAAATTACAACTCTAGTTGCCAATTGGCCCCTAAAGAATTTCATGGTGGATTTACCATGCTCTATATGTTAATTATTTCTATTTTTGTTTTTTTCCTCTCTATCTTCTCTTTCATTTCCTCTCTTATTTTTCCTTTATTTTTAATTTTTTTTCCATTCCCTCTTGTCACGTCTTTGTTACTACATCAATATTGATAATTGATTGAGCACAAGGTATAAGTTTTATATTTATATCTAAGCATTTTTAGTTGATATAAGTAACAAACTAACTACAACCTCCAAGAAACTTTATGTTGGAGTATGTGGTTAATAATTGGTGATGAAAACTAACGAATTAATAGGCAAATTTTGGCATGATGAAAGAATGAGCAAGAAAACTATGGGAAAACCACACTTTGTAGCCCCACAAAATATATGTTGTTCTTGTTACGAAGCATATTTAATTCAAAAAGTTTAAATTATTAAGACACATATATAAAAGTTAAAGTCTGTGATTAATCAATTACTAACAATCATATATTGCTTACTTATGTCAACACATAACGGTTAAAAAAAAAAGGAGAAGTGAGAGATATACAAAAAAAAAGATGTTATAGAGAAAAATAAAAATAAGTAAAATATCAAGGATAATTTCATTCTTAAACATGAATTAGGAAGTAAATTGAGTGGAAAATTTTTAGAAGGTAAAGTGCAACTAGAGTCATAGTTGATAAGAGTATAACTACAATTGTTAAATTAAGGGTATTCAATTCATTTCACCAACCCTTTACCTTTGAATATGAGGCAAAGTGATTAAAAAATAAGTTAAGGGGGCAAAATGTTTCACGTTTGGGGGCTTAGTGCAATTAATCCGGAAAGATTTTTACAAATAGTAGTAATCAGTTAATTATCCAAAAAAAAAAGAAGAAGAAAAAAGAAAAGGTTAAAGAGAGACTGACCGTCCTTGAACGCTAAGTCTCGCCAATAGGAGAATAATTCCCAGCTTTGGTCGGGATCGAGATTTTGCATGTCCCAGATGAATCCCGCACCAACACGAACAGCTAAATCCCTCTGCCGAGTGGTAAGGATGAATCTGCTAGCATTCTCCTCCTCGGTTGGCAAGGCCATGCGCAGGCTATCCCAGAATTCATAGGTACAACAATTGTCCAGCACAATTAGGCAAACATTTTCTTGTAGAACTTCGTGTACCTGTTGAGCCAACTCCACGTCCTCAACGTCCACCATCGTCATCATCATCAACTCTTTGTTCTTCTTGGTCAGTCGCGAGGGAAGCAATTGGTGGAGTATATTGACCAAGATATCTCTAATCGTCCAGTTGATACCGACGTAGACCCAGGCGAAACACTCAAAATGACTCCGGATCTGATGCTGGTTGTACACTTTGTTTGCAAGGGTTGTTTTGCCGATTCCACCTTCGCCGCAAATGGAAGCAATCACTACTTTGGCATCAGTGTCTCCAGGGACTAAAACTTTTACCAGTCGACTTATGGCCTCCTCCAATCCAACAGTATGTTCCAAGTCGTTGGAGTAATTAGCTCGAGAAACCAGCCGTTGGGCCTTTTCTGAAGTGTGGGAAACTTTTATACTTCTTATATCATTTATACTTCTTATATCATGATTGACCATAGGTAGATCCGGAGCTTGTTCTCTGTTGTACTCGACGACAGCGTCACTGAGCTGGTTATGGATGATATCCAACTTTGCGCGACTTTTGTTAAGACCTTGTATGCAACTACGGATGATACCCCTGACCTTGTATCCACTTCCAGATCCTCCAGATTCATGTTGGAGGCCATAAAGCTCCACCTCGTTCTCAATTGTAAACAGCAGGCTTCTGATCCTTCTTTTAACTTCTAAAATCCTCTCAGATTGTCGTTCTGTTTCTGTTTTGGATCGTACCAACATCAATGCATCAACGATATTCTGCAGTGCCTCGCAATAAGGAGACAAATCCATGTCTACCCCGAAAGGTGATCCTCTTGCAGACATCAGATATAGAAGCCTTTCCCTGGTAGCCGAGACCATGTTAACCAGGCTGGTCATCTTTAGGAAACAGTTGGTGCCACTGCGGGAATGGAAATACTGGTGTCGTGAATCTTGCTTATATTTTTCTCGTCCGATAATCTTTTTACGTCTTTATATAGCAGAACGGATGATATATCCCCTCCTTCCACCGGGGGCGGAGCTAAGACACCAGACAAAGTGGGATCAAATTTTAGTACAGTAAAATTTATTTTTTTGAAAAAATAAAAATTACTAATATTATATACAGGTTATAACTGTACCGTACGAGTACTTTTCTTTTTTAATGTTGCAAAATCAATTCATTATTAATTTTGTTAAACGCATCTTTTTTAACATAAGTAATTAAACATCTTGAATTTTTTAAAGTAATCTGCGAATCACTATTAACTTGATCTTCTACGGATTTCTTTTATAAAATTTATCTTTATCCTATTATAAATAAAAATCATAATGACTTAATTTCGTATTATAAATAAAAAGTTTACCATCTACTTGAATAATTCTTGGTTTTGAAGACTTTTGAAGTTTGAAAAAAAAATGATTTGAAGAATTGGTTTTCTCACTCCCCACTTAAGAAAGTTCACCCTTTGTGTTTGAAAATTTTAGATGAATTTATTTTTGAACTGACTTCTATAGATAATTTAAAATAAATTCAAAATTATTGTGATGGTAAGAATTATGAATTTTCAATTTTTCGGGGTCAATGTATATAGAAAAGAGAATTTGATAAAATATAGTGGGGTCAAATAAGATGCAAATTTAAATTTTTTTTAAAAATTTTCTAAGTCTAAGAACTAATTTTTCAAAGTTAAATGGGGTCAATTGACTCCACTTGCTTGTATATGGCTCCACCACTGCCTTCCACCCTCTTCACCTCTTTCCATCTCCAATTGTCAAGTAAATTTGACGATGATGAAAAGGACCTTAACAGCTTTACTCTTACCACGGGGGGATGCTGTGTCCCCTTAGTCATTTTTTTTTAATATAAACAAATGATGCCGTTTTGGCTATTTTTTTTTTTATTTAAAAAAAGAAAAGCCTCTGTCTTAAGTCTTCTTAACTAGTTGCTCCACATCTATGGGAAGTACTGACAATTATATAGAAAGTTCCACCCTTGTCCTTCTCCTAAGTTACGTAAAACTTGCGGGCTACCTCGTATCATTTCGTCTAAATTTCCCCAAAGAATAATTACGTATAATTTTTTTTAATAAACATTTTTCTTCTGTCTAAAATAAAATTTTTTTATTTTTAATATCCAACAAATATTTTAAGATACTTTTTCCCTTGACTTTTGAAGAATTGTATGAATTTTTTTTTGTATTTTATATAAAAAAAATGAAAACACAATAAAATTTAAAAATATATTTTATCTATTTAACTTCATGTAATTTATATTTTACACTGCTTATTAATTAATTATATTGCTAGCAGATGTAAAATTTTAACATAAAAAGCTATATGCTAAAATGAATTAAATATTACAATTGAAAATTTTTATCAATCATTAATTATTTTGAAAGCAAAAAAAAAATGTTAAAATTTCATGCAAACAAACAAATAACAAGTAGAACAAATAAAACGTGTTATATCCTATACAATAATCTAGAGCAATTAAGTCAAATTTGTATTAATTTTATATCATTCTGATACATAAATATGAATTATACCAAACATTGAAAAATGAATGGATACTATATATTGACTTGTGTACCAGATTGTTCCCTATCAATAAAATGATCAGTTTTAAAACCCTTGTGTACTAGACACTTGAATAATAAAATTTTCTCCCTACGATTCTGGGTGAAAAGGTAAATTTTTCTCCCTACCATTCTCGGTGAAAAGGTATTTCAAGTAGAAAGACCTTTCTATTCTATGACGGAGCCAGAATTTTTTTTTGGGGGGGCCAAAATTTTTTCCTAATAAAATTATCTTAATAGATTATGTTCAAAATAATTTTCTTCTATTTAAATATATGACATCTAAAAATATCAAATATTAAATTTAATTATAAAGGTATGGCTATTCATAAATATGCGGTATAGTCATAACAATAATTAACAAAAAATAACTTTTGATTAAATAGTTTATAACATCACAAACCATCCAATTTGCACATTATGAGAAGATGCTCTCCAATATGTCACCTATGCAATATATATATATATAACCATGTAATATAAATGTAACTATTTTCAATTGAAAAAAGATAAAAGTTATGTTAACATAATTTGAAATTTCAACATCTTTTTTTAGAAGTAAATTGAGCTCTACGCTCTTTCATAGAACTAAATTCATCTATAATTGAATCACTGCTAAATTTTTCAGCAACTTCCTTTTCTATATACACAATTAGACAATCATTCAAGAAATTATCTTCCATCTTGTTTCGGAGTTTTGTCTTGATTATTTTCATAATTGAAAATGCCCACTCTTACAAGAAGAGTAAGAACAAGTCTAATCAATCTGTCAATAAGAGGATATATCACTGATTTTCTTGTCTTCACCAAGTCTTGACATAACTCATGAATACCAGATAATTCTTACAATTCAGGATGATTTGGAATGTCAAGTTCAAAATGTTGAAGTTCTATTCTTACACGTACTAGTTCTTGCTTTTAACAATTATGAATTGGGTCTTTTTAGCCTATTAACAATTATGAATTGGGTCTTTTTATTCTAATACATCACATTGGGTCAATTTACTATAGAACATCAAATTATATGTTTAATTTTTGAAAGTTAAATAATTAGTACAATAAAAAATAAATAACTTTTTTTGAAGAAAAAAATTAATTCAAAGATGACTAATTTATATATATATCAACTCTCATAATATAAACTAAAATTGTAAAAATTTAGGGGGGGCCAATTTTATTTTACACACATATTTACATATTATAAATTAAAATTTTCAAAACTTAGGGGGGGCCATGGCCCCCCTCTGCCCCCTTGGCTCCATCATTGATTCTATCCATTCCCATATACCAAACAAGGGGTTAGTTTTTAAGTTACACACTACATTTATCATTCCATGCTAAGTCACCATAATCGGGCAGTATTGATGAATTTAAATGTGAAATATTTTGGTGCATGCCACTTCGTTCTTTATTCAAAATGCAGAGTATAGCAATATGCCTTAATACACTTTATTTTCTTTCTAGTTTTCTTAAATAATTTGCATAGTTAGATCGCTCTGGGACAAGCTTGAAAACTCTTAGATATTCGTTTGGATGGTAGTTATGGAGAAATATATATATATATATATATATATATATATATATAGTATTAAATATATTTAACTAATTTTCTCTCTCCTAAGTTACATGCCTAAATGAAGAGAATTACCAATTATCTGGTTTATCCGTTATTATCCAACTTTTATAGTGAACAATTATATTCTCTTTTTCTTCTAACAATTGTTATCTTTTCTCATCAATTTAAATTATGTTATTTATGGATCCTCGTTCTTCTAACAACATTTTGTTTTTTGAATAACTTCAAAATTGTTTTTATCCATATAGAGTAATTTTAATTAGTCCGACTACAAATGTTGCAGCTATAAGTTTACTAATATTCAGAACTAAATATTCATTCTTGAAAACATGGATTGCTGCATCTTTTGTATTTAATTTAATACAAATATGTAGTTCTAGGCATATGATTATTTTAACAAATTAATAAGCATTTGAAAGAATGTCTATCAATTTTTTTTTGTATGCATTGCAATATTCGTTGTGTATTAGTTACAGCAAAAATATGTATATAAGTATTCAAAAATTGGTATGGTATTTGAACATTTAAAATATATTAATTTTCTAAAAGTTAATATTAATGTATATGTAAAAAATATGTTGATATTTATTCTTGAATTATTTATGCTTGCACAAGTTCACTAAAAAATAATAATAATGTGCTAAAGCATTGGCTAAAGTGTTAGTTTTCTTAAAGAAAAGGTTGTCTTAGTATTCTTTTAAAGAAAATTTTACAATAATATTTTTGTTTAATGAAATTATTCAAAGTGTTTCTCAAATTTGTTGTATTTAAAGAACGTCACTCAATGGCGATAATTAATAGAGTAGAGGTTAAGAAAATATAAAATTTGTAAAATTGCCTAAATCCATTTTAATCTAACTGCGAAGACCATCGAATCAGGAGCCTCACAAGTCGAATCTATCCAATCCAAATCAATTGATGAAAATTTTCATGTATTTGGTATAGCTTATAAAGTTTTAGTGTAAACGCCAAGCAAGTTGTATAAATTGATAAAATTTAAGTTTATCACCAAATTGTGTGGATCTACGTCAACACGTGCAAGAATTATAGTAGTAACAGTTTGAATTAGACAAAGCCCGACTTATAGGGCCCCAGAGTAGTTTTCTCGTTTCTATGAACCGTGGAGGAAAGGGTTCGGAGCTAGAGTTACTGAATCCGGCTCCTCTTCCAATGCCAAATCGCTCTGTTCATTAAAATTTCCTTTTCTCCCTTCAACCTAGCATCACTGCTACTATTAAATTGCCCTCCCTTGTAGCAGTTTCTACCAAGAAGTTCATTGGAGCCGAGGAGCCTTCAATCTCGACTAATCCGGTACTTCCATCTGTATAATGCATGACATGCTTTTCTTTTCAACTATTTTTCTGTTTCAGTTGCGTTTCGGGGAATGGGTGTGTGAATCTAGTTCTTCTTAGTATGATCGAGTACATGGTACTTAATGCGCTTCCTCAATTATGAATTGGTTCATACGATATTAAAATGATGTATGATGGATCATGGATTTCAAATGCAGGAGGAGCCACAAATAATTTGCATTCGCGTTTGTCCTGCGGCAGATCGAATATGTCAATTTTCCAGCACAAATACAAACCGATAAACACTTCAGGTCAAGATGAAGGCAACCCAATAGTAACAGTCAATCGGAAGCCTGTTCGTAGGATATGCAAGTGCCAGTCTTCAGTCCTTGCTGAACTTGGAGAAAAGGGAAAGCTCCAAGACACACAACCCAGATTTGGCCCATTTTACCGCCGAGATGAGCCGGCGGTCAATGGAAAGAAGGAAGCGTGGGATAAGGTATTGGAAAAATCTGAAGACAGGAACAAAACCAAAGAAGATTACTTGTTTTCTATAAGAAGGATAGAGAAAAGAGCCAGGGCTATTTATGCTGATGCAGATTCAGGAGACCTGGATGACTTGACAGAGTCTGAGTTCCGCTGGATGATGATTAAAGATGGTTGCTTCTTCCTCCAGTTGGCATTATTCATCCTTGGAGTTCCGTCCGGGAAATTGGGGTATTCTTCCAATCACATAATTTTTGGCAAAAAAAGGAACAAGGAGGACGTCAAGAAATGGATTCAAGCGATGTTCTTTGTTGGAAATCAATTACCACTTTTGGTGCTAAACGAGTTAATGAAGCAAAGGTTTTTCCAGACAATTTTGCCTGAGGTGGACAAGGAAACCCCAGCAGATGTGCCCAGGAGGATCTTGTATGAGTCAATGGTTTTGCCTGCTCGAGAATATATGGAAAATCAAACTATGACATCTCCAACTCCCCGGAGCGGGCAGCAACAACCTTCTGACTTGCTCCATGCCCTTCACACCTCGATGTGTGGGTCGGGAGGAAGTCTGCGGAATGCCAACCTCCTTGCAAATGAAACAGAAAATGTTGATCTGGAAGCCGGCAGGGGTGTCAACCAGGCCAAGAACTTGACTTTCAGTGCCACGGAGTTGAAAAAAAAGGGAATTTATTTTCAAAAAGAGGAAAAGGTGGGATGTACTCATAAGATTAGTTTTAATGACTACTTCCTCTTCTCTCGTCTTTACTTGCCGGTTTTTACTGTTGATGATGATACGGAATTAGTATTCAAAAGCTTGAAGCTTTACGAAGTGAGTCAGGGCAAGCACGAACGCGAGGTGAGATCCTATCTGCATTTGATGAGTGATCTCATTTGCACGTATGAGGATGTCAAACTCTTAGCAGAGAACGGAATCATCAAGGCAGACAACCTTTACCTTAAAGAAAAGTTGCCGACAATCTTGGACAACATGGTCGGCCAGGACAAGATCAACACTTCAGACCACCATACTTTGAGGATCAGACTTAGAGATTATAACATAGCTCCCTGGGAAAAGTTCAAAATAGTGGCTTTCTTGATTTTTGTCTTCACCGCAGTCCAAGCATTCCTTGCACTGCTTGGTTACATCAGACCCCGACGTTAATGGCTTCCCACAACTTCAAGAATTCAGTTATTGGAGATCTTTGCTCTTCCTTCCCACAACCTGTACTAATGTTTTGACTGGTTCAATGCACCAGTTCTTGCATTTTAAACTGGAACAACAATATTTCATATGTGCAAAAAATGTTTATGAAAGGAAAGAGCTAAAAATAAAGTTCAAAAAAGTGTTATTTTACTGTTGATATTTACCAAAATGTGTTGAAATTTATGATAGGCATTAGGCAATCGCCCCATTCATCAACTTGAGGAAACTATAATACAGCCTTCAACATTTGACTCCCTATTGATAGAATTGTTGTAGTGCCTATTTGCAGCCTACAAGAAACACGATACTATATTTTCTCTTACACACCTTCTTCTTTGTTGAATTATTAAGTACTACATTAAAAGGAAAAGCAATATTTAATGTTGGTAATGATACAGGAAAGCTCTTTATTGGCTAGGCATGACCATATTTAATATCTACTATCAGTCGATTTCTTTTTTTTTTTTTTTTACTATTAGTCAATATTAAGCATACACTTGCAAGCAAATTTTAAACTTTACCAGGGGCAAGTTGTAAGTAGGGTTAAAAGATGAATCAAACTATTCGATACTTAAATCGAGTTTGGCTCAGTAAAAATTCATTTGAGTTTAGTTTGCGAGCTAATTAAACTAAAATCGAACAACAATTTATATTTGATAAACTTTGAAGTTCATCTCGAACTCGACTCGATTAACACTTTAATGAAATTTATATGTAAAAAATTCAAACTACTCGAGTTCGACTTAAGTTGGGCTTGATAAAAGTTCATTTGAACTCAACTCGAGAAGTAAGTAAATCAAGCTTGAACGAATTTCAGAATCATCAAAATAATTAAACAAGCTTAAACAATAAGGCATTTGGCTTGTTCAGATTCATTTATACCCCTAATTGTAGAACAAATTTTGCTGCATGTAATCCGAAATAATATAAACTGCATAATAGAGGTATTAGGCGAACGATCTCTGTCAATATGACAAGCTAGCTAAAACACAAAGAAAAAGAAAGGAAAAAAAATGGGGTATTTTCAGTAGCAGAAGCTCTTTGATGGCTAGGCATGGCCAAGATTTGTCATGTTATTAGTCAAAACTAAGCATAACTTTGCAAGGTGTCGCTGAACATTACAAATACAAGTTATAGAAGAATATGAACAAATGTATTGCTACACGTACGATAGTCAATATATAATACGGGATAATTGAGATATTGGCTGAATGATCTTTATCAGTATGACACCCAAGGCAACAAAATGAAAGTTGTTACGATCAGGGGAAGCTCTTTGTCGGTTAGGCACGACTAGATTTTTTTTTGTTATCCATTTGTCAAAATTGCATAAACTTGTCGCTGAGCACTACAAATGCAAGTTGTAGAAAGAATTTGAATAAATATTGCAATACGTACGATGAAATATATATACATATATATAATACGGGATAATCTGTATCAATATGACATGCTAGCAAACAAAATAAAAGTTGTTACGACCAAGGGAAGCTCTTCATTGGCTAGGCGCGACTACATTTTCTCTTTGTATCTATTAGTCAAAATTGTATAAACTTGCAAGCTGTTGCTGAACGCTACAAATGCAAGTTGTAGAAAGGATTTGAATAAATACTGCAACGTCCAATGAGAAACAGATATATAATATGAGACAATCGAGATGTATTAGCTGAACTGTCTATATCAACAAATATGACATGCTAGCTAGCAGCAAAATAAAGGTTGTTTGGATTAAGGGCAGCTCGTCATTGGCCAGGCATGTCCAGAATTTTTTTTTTTTTACCTATTGGTCAAAATTATGCATACACTTGCAAGTTGTTGCAGAACATCGTTATTTGTATAGAGAATTCGAAAATTTTTTTGCTATATATCTTTGTCACTATGACATGCTAGCCAAAAAAATAAAAATAAAAATAAAAAAAGATGCAAGGATCAAGAGAATTGAAGCTCTTCATTGGTTAGGCATGACGTACTTGTTACTATTTATTAGTGAAAATAAAGCATAAATTTACGAGTTATTTATGAACTATATTAATGCAAATTGCAGAAAAAATTCATTTGAGTTTAGTTTGCGAGCTAATTAAACTAAAATCAAACAACAATTTATATTTGATAAACTTGCAAGTTTAACTTGAACTCAACTCGATTAACACTTTAGTGAAATTTATATATAAAAAATTCAAATTACTCGAGTTCGACTTAAGTTGGGTTTGATAAAAGTTCGTTTGAACTCAACTTGAAAAGTAAATAAATCAAGCTTGAATGAATTTCAAACTCGTCAAAATAATTAAACATGCTTAAACAATTAGGCGTTTATACCCCTAATTATAGAAAAAAAATTTCAACAAATTTTGCTGCATGTAATCCGAAATAATATAAATTGCTTAATAGAGGTATTGGCCGAACGATCTCTGTCACTATGACAAGCTAGCTAAAACACAAAGAAAAAAAAAAAAAAAAAAAAAAAGGGTCTTGTCGGTATCAGAAGGTCTTTGATGGCTAGGCGTGACCAGATTTGTCATGGTATTAGCCAAAACTATGCATAACTTTGCAAGGTGTCGCTGAACATTACAAATACAAGTTATAGAAAGAATTTGAACAAATGTATTGCTACATGTACGATAATCAATATATAATACGGCGCAATTGAGATATATTAGCTGAAGTATCAATGTCAATATGACATGCTAGCAAGCAAAATAAAGGCTGTTTTTTTTAAAAAAAAAAAATCAAGGGAAGCTCTTCACTGGCTAGGCATGACTACATTTTTTTTTTTTAATCTATTAGTCAAAATTAAACATAAACTTGCAAGCTGTTGGTGAACACTACGAATGCAAGCTGTAGAAAGAATTTGAATAAATATTGTAAGATGTAAGATGAAAAAAAAATATATTATTGGATAATTAAGATATATTAGCTGAACAATCTGTATCAATATTACATGCTAGCAAACAAAACCAAGGGAAGCTCTTCGTTGGCTGGGCATGACTTCTTTTTTTTTTTTTCTTTGTATCTATTAGTCAAAATTGTATAAACTTGCAAGCTGTTGCTGAACGCTACAAATGCAAGTTGTAGAAAAAATTTCACTGAATCTTGCCAAATGTACGTAGTTCGAAAACATATTATATTGTAAGATTGAGGTATTAGCTGAACGATCTCCGTCAATGTGACATCCTAGCAATGCAATACGAAAAGAGCTTGTTCTGATCAAGGGACGCTCTTAATTGGTTAGGCATGAGCAAATTTCTTTTTTTTTTTTTTTTTGTTGCATATCCAATTTCCAGGTATTCCGCTACAGGCCCTTTAAATTAACGTAAAATTGTATAGTTTAGATGTTAGTTGAACTATCTTAGTCAATCTAAGAGAGTAGCGGACAAAAGAAAAGTTGTTATGATCATGAAGAGATGCTATATATTAAAAATAAATTTAGAAAAATCTCTTGTTCTTTCTTTCTCAGCCAAAAATCTCCTCAAAAATTTAGTGTAAAGACACAAAAAAGTCAATAAATGACGACTCAATTTCATTTTTTTTTCACACTTCTTCAAAAATAGATTAAGTAGTCAAACATAAAAGGGTAAATTCCACTTCGGACCCTCAAAATTCAGATGCACTTCCACTTCAATTTTAGACTAAAGTACTAGTTGACATAGAAAACCGGGCCAGCCATATGAAAGTGCGTATCTTAATAAGTTGTTGGGTTAAATGGTGATCTTTAAAGGTGGGAATTGGAAATTTTTATTCATCTTGATCTGTGAGAATCAGCTGTTAAACTTACGAGGGTCGCTAGAGTGACTTTGTGAGTAATTTTGGCCTCTATATAAGCACTCGACTTTGAATTCAACTTGATTTTGGTACAAAAGATGTGATCAATTGATTTTGCATCTATATTTTCTGGAATTGTTTGATCATTGTTTCAGTTACCGTCCATGCAAAATTGTTAGCTTTTCCGTGCAAACTGTACGCGTTGTAAATCAGAAACTTTCCGGCCTTCCACTAAAATGTTTTCCCAAGAACTAATCCAACTCTTCAATTTTATGGTACTTTGTTTGTATGACTGACCCACTCGCTGTCTCTCTCGTAGAACAGAATAGGTTACTGAAATGAATCGTTAGATTTATAATTTATAGCACTGTATGTATGGCTTTGTACAAACACATGTATGTGGTTTCAGTTGCTAGTGATCTTACTTTTGTTTTGATAAAGCCATAATATCTGATGATCGATTTTGGAAAACTTTCCTATAGTTGGAATTATTATGAAAAATAATCATAAATCACATAAACCAGGATTCATTGTCTTGTTCGTTAATCAACAAGTAGGAATAGCAGTCTTATTCTTATAGACATAGTTATAGTTGGTCCCTCAATTACCACCAGGCCACTTCGAGTTAAAGCCAGGTTTTGTTTTAAAAGAAAAAAAGAGTGGGAAATAAAATATGAAGAGAAAATTGCACCAATCGTCCCCCACATATTTTTTATATGAAATTTTAATCCCTCAAAATTAAAATGATTGATTTTAGTCCTTAAAAAATAATAAAGAAATGTTCACTTTTGGTTCCTCAACATCTTTCCGATCAAATTTTGGTCGGAATAATTCAAGGGCCCATCACTGATTAGCTTTTTAAGAGCAAATTTGGCAACTCACTTAATGTTGACCTAATTTCTTAATTCACCCTTTTTTTAGGACAACTTTAAGTGAGTTGCCAAATTTACCCCTAAAAATCATTTCATGATGGGTCTACGGTCTATTCCGACTAAAATTTGATTGAAAAATTGTGCTCTTTTTTATTTGTTAGGGGCCATTTCAAAGCAAAAAATCTTAATTCATCTGATCTATCTTCCTATCAGTAACTTTGAGCCTCATTTATTTGTTTGTTTACTTATTAATTTTGATAACAACAGATGCTTGAAAGATTGACTGAACCCAAATATTTTTTTACCACTAAAGAGAAAAAGGAAATAAAAACCTTAAGATGCAAACATTTGCTCCAAAATATAAGATATTCCTTTGCTTTCAATAAACATAATTAGGCCAGACCTAGCCAAGGCTCATCCACCATTGTGGCC